CTCTCTCTCTCTCTCTCTCTCTCTCTCTCTCAACTCAGAGCACCCTCCACTATTTAGTTATTCTTTCGAGCGATTATCATATGTAATTCATACAAAAAGAACATGGGTAGTACGATATGTTTCAGTACACCCATACTACTTGTAGCCTACTTTCTGCTGTCTATGGGTTGAACATTTTAAGTTCAAAAGAAGTAAGTATTCCATGAAATGCAACATCCAACACTGTGCTAAATCATATTATATTATTCTACATGTTCGTTTCCTGTCTTGATGCTTTTTAAGACACAAGAAATAAGCAAAAAAAAATCAAATGTTTGAAATATTTGAAATTAAACAACTTAGAAATGACCACAAATAGGAATTGCTATATAGATGTATGTGAAAGTATAGTTTTAAAAAATATCATAATATATGTATTTGAAAGTGTCTGCAGTGTGCGCAATAGCTAGAGAGTTTAGTTATATTAGGGGATGGGTAAGTTTGTGTGTGTGTGCGTGCGTCTGCGTGTGTGAGTGTGTGTGAATGAGAGAGAGAGAGAGAGAGAGAGAGAGAGAGAGAGAGAGAGAGAGTAAACAGCTATATATATATATATACACACACAGTGTGTACATCAAGCTATCAACTCAAGCACTACACACACATTACCACACTATCACTACCACCGAGAATGAAAGCCACAGTGACGAAAGAGCCAGGAACACCTGCTAACCACCCAGTGCGTGCCAAAACTAAACAAAACAGACCAGTCGCAACAACTGGAAGTGTCACTATGACTGAAATTTTCGTTAGAAAGGGTTTTGCGGCACTTACAACACAATTAGGTCAAAATATAAATACTGAAGAATAGAGGTGTTACAAGAGAGTAACATACACAAAAAAGAAGGAGAGATTATTTATAAGGACGATAGATGTTTTATAGGAAAGAAGGATCAAACCACACCAGAGCACCCGCCAATCACCCACTGTAAGGGTTTTATGGCACTTGCAACACAATGAATAAATACGGTCATATAAATACCGAAGAATAGATGTGTTACAAGAGAGTAACATACACAAAAAAGGAGGAAAGAAAGGACGATAGATGTTTCATAGGAAAGAAGGAGAGCAAACCACACCAGACCACCCGCCAACCACCCAACACGACTGAAGCAATGGTTGAGATTATAATCAAAAAGTTCAAAAAGGAGACACATACAAGATCACTGTATAATTTCACCTCTGTACTAGTGCTTTAACCCTTTCCAAACGCCGTGTTTTACTATCGTATCCATACGACGAGGGGAACTCTGTGCCACCACTTAACCCTATCCGTACGTGGTGTTTTACTTTCGTATCCATACGACGTGGGGAACTCTGTGCCACCACTATCCATAGAGGAAATTTACTCGTTAATCTGATCCGTACGCTTTGCATAGAAGTCTGTCAAAATGATTTTTTGAGAAATACTGAAAGTTTCAAAGAGATCTTTATACTAGAAATATTCTAAAATGTGAAGAATACAACCCCGGGGTACAAAATGACCCAGGGCGTACGGACAGGGTTAATTAGGTATTCCAGCCAAAGAAGTGACTGCGGTACAGATGTGTGGTTTCTTTTCAAAACTGTCCCTCTACTACAACAATGAATGTACAGAAACAAGTCCCACTTTCGCTCTGAGTGAGACTGACTGAGTGACAGGTTAATATTTCAGGAGTGCGGCGGCAGACAGAAGATTCGGGTCACCTTTGGGTCAAGGACAGGTCTAGATAAGGGGCAGGGGGACTATCTCAGGTGAGGTCGACACAAGCCAGCCGCAGAGTAGAATGATA